GAGGAGATGGCAAAACTGAACTCGCTCTCTTTACTGAGTTACAGCGGGAAGCTATATATACAACTCTATCCATCTAATCCTAGTACACAGATATGTCAGGCTGCCATGCTGCTACAGTAACTGGATGTGACAGCGGGCTGACTTTGGCGCCTGCCTCTGCTGTGGCTACAGTGCGGTAGGGAAGCCTTTCGGCGTCTGCCCCTGCCGCGGCTACAGTGCAGCAGCAGGGAGCCCTTTCGGCGCCTACGCCTGCCACGCTTTCAGAGATGGGAGATCATCTGATTACTTTACAATTCTTTCCGTAATCCTGCTGCTAACCCTAGAACCTCCACCATGCCGATCATCTTCTTCAGCTCCGTGAACCGAAGACGGCCGAGCGACTTGGTGAGGACGTCCGCGAGTTGCCGACCAGTTTCGACGAACTCGCTGACGATCTGCCCTCCATCGACACAGTCCCTGAGGAAGTGAAACTTGATGTCGATGTGCTTGCTCCGGTCATGGATAACCAGATTCTTTGCGAGGGCGATGGCAGGCTGATTGTCCACCATCAGTGCTGGTGGGTGAGCTTCCACACCTGTCATGCGAAGGAGGCAAGGTTGCAGACTTTGAAGTGTGAGTTCGATGCACTGCGTATGAAGGATGATGAAGGAGTTGATCAGTATGCAAGCAAAATTTCGGTGATGTCGGTGAAGTACGAGAACCTGGGTGGAAGTCTGGATGATACGGCGATGGTGAAGAAACTCTTTGACACTGTCCCAGATCGCTTCATTACGGTTGTCGCCGGGATAGAGCAGTTCTTCGATCTGAAGAAATTGCCTTTTGAGGAGGCAGTTGGTTGTCTGAAGGCCTACAAGGAGCGGATCCAGCGAGGAGCGGGTGGATCCAGGGGTGACGACGGGCAGCTGTTACTCACGCAGGCCGAGTGGGAGGCGCGACACAAGAAGTCCGGCGGGGAGTCCTCGGGGAAGGGGAGAGCGCAGGACAGGGGGAGTTGTGGCCGAGGCCGAGGGCGCGGTGGGCAAGGTCATGGCCACGGCGGGCACAGGGATGCGTCCAACAAAGAAGGCAGGGCCAAGCGTGACAAGAGCCACATCAAGTGCTTCAAATGTCACAAGACTGGTCACTACGCCAATCGTTGTCCAGGTGGAGAAGAGAAGAAGGGAGATGAAGCTCATCATGCTCGAATGGAGAACGTCGAGCCAGCGCTAATGCTCGCAGTCACGGAGGTGCTGGAGTCGCTCGAGTTCGCGCCAAGGGTGATCACGGGGATGCAGCACTCTGCTGTGTTCCTAGATGAAAGGCAGGTGATGCCCGAGCTACATTTGACCGGTGGAGAGAAGAAGATAGGAAATGTCTGGTATCTGGACAATGGAGCCAGCAATCACATGTCAGGTGATGCAGGCAAGTTTCAAGATCTTGACAAGGGAGTGGTTGGCAAGGTCAGATTTGGTGATTGATCTGCAGTGGAGATCAAGGGAAGGGGAACACTACTGTTTCAGTGCAGGAATGGGGTTCAGTGGTTGTTGCATGATGTGTACTACATCCCAAGGCTGAGAAGCAATTTGATCAGCCTTGGGCAGCTTACTGAAGCCGGGCACAAGGTGATCATGGATGACAATTGGTTGGAGGTGTATGACAAAGTGAGACAGAAGCTTGTGTTGAGGGTTAGTCGAAATGCAAATCGACTATACCAAGCTGAGTTGAGAAGTTCAGAACCAGTATGCTTGATGGCAAGGGTGTCTGAAGAAGCCTGGCTGTGGCATGGCAGGCTTGGTCATGCAAGCTTTCAGTCACTGAAGCTGTTGTCAGAAAAATCCATGGTGGGAGGTGTTCCTGTGATTGAGCACACTGATGAAGTCTGTCAGGAACGTTTGGCAGGGAAGCAAACATGCATGGCATTCCCTAGGATGGCACAGTGGCATGCAAGCAAGCCTTTGGAGTTGCTCCACATTGATTTATGTGGACCTATCTCACCTGCAACTGCAGGAGGTAACAAGTACTTCATGCTCATTGTTGATGACTGTTCTAGAATGATGTCTGTCTTTATGCTTAAGTCCAAAGATGAAGCTAGTTGTGCATTTGCTAAGTTTAAGACAGTAGCAGAGAATGATTTAGAACAGAAAATAAAAGTTGTAAGATCAGACAGAGGTGGGGAGTTCTTAGCTATTTCTTTCAGAGATATATGTGAACAGGCTAGGATTAAAAGGCAGTTCACAGCTCCATATACACCACAGCAGAATGGAGTAGTAGAGAGAAAAAATAGAACTGTGATGGAGATGTCTAGATCACTGTTAAAGAGCATGAGAGTGCCAGGAAGGTTTTGGGGAGAAGCTGTCAGGCATTCAGTATACTTGTTGAATAGATTACCAACTAAGGCTTTGGGAACTCAAACTCCCTATGAGGTTTGGAATGGTAGAAAACCTCATCTTGGTCATTTGAAGGTGTTTGGCAGTGTGGGTCATGTGAAAAACACAATGCCACACCTGAAAAAATTGGAAGACAGAAGCACTCCAATGGTCTACTTTGGAGTTGAGGAGGAGAGTAAAGCTCATAGAATGTTTAATCCTCAGACTAACAAACTTGTGGTGAGCAGAGATGTTATTTTTGAGGAGTCTAAGAGCTAGAATTGGAAGTCAAGCAATGAGTTTTCTGAAGATGCAGACTTTACAATAGAAAAGCAAGATCATTTCATTACTCAGATTGTGGGATCTGCTGATGCAAATGATGGGGGTGAGAACTCTCAGCATGGCTCTCTTGCTGGGTCAACAAGTGTAGTTGGATCAACAAGTGGAGGAGAAGCTAGAGAAGCTGTCCAAGAGTCAGGTTCAGTCAATACAGGAACTGAAGAGCATTCAGTTACTGTTCCAAAACCGACAATAGAGATAGAAGAAGTGAATTCAGAGAATTTTGCACAGGGAGCAGGTTGGGATCAACAATCTGAGGATCCAAGAAATAGTAGTGACTATGATGAGGAACCTTTGAGGTTCAGAAACTTAAATGAAGTTTATGATGAAACTAGCGAAGTTGATTTGGCATCAAACTCAGAATTTGGTGCATTGCTTGCAATGATGGAAGAGCCATCCACATACCAAGAAGCTGCTGAAAATGTGGAGTGGGTGGCAGCTATGGACAGTGAAATTCAGTCCATAGCAAAAATGGGACATGGGAACTTGCAGAATTACCATCTGGTCATAAGCCTATTGGACTTAAATGGGTTTATAAGCTGAAAAGAAATTCAGTGGGAGAGGTGATTAAGCACAAAGCTAGATTGGTTGCTAAGGGATATGTGTAGAAGCATGGAGTGGACTTTAATGAGGTATTTGCTCCAGTGGCCAGGCTTGATACAATAAGGTTGCTGCTGGCACTTGCTGCAAATAGGGATTGGCAAGTTCACCATTTAGATGTCAAATCTGCATTTTTGAATGGAGAACTTGAAGAGGAGGTCTATGTTAGTCAACCAGAAGGTTATGTGCAGAAGGGAAAATAGAAGATGGTACTCAAACTCAATAAAGCTCTTTATGGTTTGAGGCAAGCTCCAAGGGCCTGGAATATCAGGCTAGATAAAAGCCTGAAGAAACTTGGATTCAAGAAATGTCCAAGTGAAGCAGCTGTGTATAAGAGGGGTACTAGAAATAGTGCAGTGGTACTTGGGGTATATGTTGATGATTTGATTGTTATAGGAGAAAATCCAGGTGAAATTGATCTGTTCAAGAAACAAATGACATCTGAATTTGATATGAGTGACTTGGGGCTATTGTCCTTTTACCTTGGGATAGAGGTGGAACAGCAGAAAGATCATATCACAATCAAACAGTCTAGCTATGCCAAGAAAGTACTAGCACAGTTTGGAATGGCGGATTGCAATTCAACAAAATTTCCAATGAGCCCTAGGGTGAAACTTGATGAAGACAAGCAAGGTGTGTCTGTGGACTCAACTGGGTATAGAAAAGTCATTGGCTGTCTCAGATATCTGTTGCATACAAGACCTGATCTGTCTTTTTCAGTGGGTATGGCTAGTAGATTTATGGAGAAGCAAACATTAATGCATCAGAGAGCAGTCAAACAGATTCTGAGATACTTGAAGGGAATTGTTAACTATGGTTTGGTGTATACTCAGAAAGGTAAGCAGGAGGTGCTAGTGGTCTATTCTGACAGTGATCATGCTGGGGATGTTGTTGGGAGAAGAAGTACAGGAGGGATGGTTTTCTATCTCAATGAGAGTTTGATCACTTGGATCTTACAAGGAGAAAACAGTAGCTCTATCTTCTTGTGAAGCTGAGTTCATGGCAACTACTGCAGCAGCTATGCAGGGTTTGTGGCTGAGAAGTCTGCTGGCCGAGATCACTGGGTTGCCACCACAGACAGTGAAGTTGTATGTTGACAACAACTCAGCAATTGCTCTAATGAAGAATGTTGTATTCCATGGGCGTAGTAAACACATTGACACAAAGTACCATTTCATTAGAGAATGTGTTGAGAGATGTCAGTTTCAGGTGAAGAGGGTGAGCACCGAAGAACAGAAGGCAGATGCTCTGACTAAGGCGCTGCCAGCAGTGAAGTTGGCAGTGATGAGGCACTTACTTGGCGTTTGTGACCTCAGTGCATGTTAGAATTAGGGGGGAGTATGTTGGTGTAATTCTGCCATAGCATGGAAGCGTCAGAGTCTGACCAAACCGAAGGCGGGAAGCTACAGGTTTGAAATCAGGCAGTTGGTGTGCACGCGGTGAGCACGCCCACGACACGACGTGGCATGACGGTTGCATTCTACTCCATTGTATCTGTGTCTTAGGCGGTTGTTTAGCCAAGTATCGTGTGTAAGAGTTGCTGGTATAAGTAGCTTAGACCTCAGAGTATGTGCTTGTGAGAAAAACTTCCATTGTAATTGTGATGTACCGATCATATTAATCCGTGGAAAATAGCACCGTCCTCTGACAGTTGCCGTTCATCATTTCTGCGTTCCAGTGCATCGCAAGTTCATACTTGTTCTTCTTGATTCTAGGCTAGCCAATTTGCAAACAGGCCTGTGATTTGTGTGTTCCAAAACCAAAAACGGCGCGGGCGATGTTGTGCCACCGATCCGGCGTGTCGTTGTCGTACACCGCCAGCGCCTGCTCGAACAGCTTGTTCTGCCTCGGCGTCCACTGCGCACGCGCCACTGCGGCGCTCGTCATCGACAGCGACGCCATCCCACTCTGCTGCTTCTCTTCGATGCACTAGCTTAGAGCTCGCTCGGGTCGAGAGGAAGCTAGCTAGCTATAGGCTATAGCTAGATGCTGTGTGCTGAGCTGATGAGAGGAGGAGGTGTGGGAAGGGCTGCTATTTATAGATCGAAGCAGCAGTGGCCGTGGCGGGAGGAAGGGAGGCCTCACGGGAGTCATGGAGAGGGAGGTGGACCATGGCGCATCATCGATCAGGGTGGTGGGGAGGAGGAGCTAGGACGACTAGGAGGAAAAGACAAGAGGAGGGAAGGAATAATGCCGACGGGGGCACACACTGCAGTTGAGGCGAGAGAGGAGCAAGCTAAAGAGAGCCGCAGGAGCAGCAGCTGGGAAGGGAACAAAGATTTCTGTTCCCTGGCCCCTGGGAGTGGGGGATCTCATCTACTCCGAACCTTTCTATCGCATCCCCCCTCTCCGGTCACGTCGCTATTCGGCTGCTTGCATTGCGTTATCGGCATCTGTTCTACTTCTTCTGTCGTCTCCTCCTCCAATCCTGACCAAACATATATTCACAGTTTGAGAGCTAGCTCGATCGCTTCTCCGGCATGAATGTGTGTCAATCTCCAATTATTCCATACTCTCTTATGATCAATGAAATACTCCTACTCATGAAGGCGTTCTGTTGTTCATTAACACCAGAAAGGAGCTGAAATCCTAGCTAGTACCAAGCATAGAGTATGTTCTTATTTCCTACTTCTTTCAGGCACCCAAATACACTGGTTATCTCACACTGTGAAAATATTCAGGAGGAGGCGCTGCATGTGGAGATCGATCGAACACACGACAATCAAAATCATAGGTTTTCGTTGGAACATGCACACATTACAGGCTGCGGAAAATGCTTGACAACTTACAGCTCACACGCACAATTATTTGGTCAAGAACATTCAGTCGCTGTCTCCAAATAGCTAGTTGCAAAGAAAGATTGGATTCCATCACTAGAAAGAGAGTGTGCGTGGTAATAAGATCCATAGGTGAGCGTATATATCTTGCTTTTTCAAAGAGAATAATATCGAGCAATCTAGCTCCAACCTTTTAGTGAATGACTAATTTAATCACCAGAAACTAAAGCTGATTATTCCTGCTCTGTGAGTGTGTGTGCTACGACCGATATTCGGATCTGTTCATCCCTTTAGGCGATTCGATTCAGGAACGTTTGAAGGCAACGGCTCGCCTTTCTCAACTCTGTATATTCTCTTCTACGTATATATATTGATGATGAGGAAACATATACTACAATAGAAAAGGAATTATGTGAAGAAAGAAGTAGCTATATATGTCTTGATCTGATTTTTATCCATTATCTAAAAAATGTCAAGATCTAGCGTAAATAAATAATAAAAATATAGACTCAATGGAACGTACATGTACTCACTGCAACGAAAACAAAAGTTAATTCATGAGTTAAATGCACCAGAGATCCATTAACTTGTGAAAAAGTTTCAGTTAGATCCATCGACTTTCAAAGTGGCTTTTGGGTCCATAAACCTAGTATGTTGTATCACTTAGATCCATATCCCTCCACGTGGGCTTCTCATGCTAACGTAGACTGCTGATTTGTCCTTCTTAAGCAACTATTGACGCTTCATTTCGTCAAACATGTTGTGGACGCGCGAGCAGGTGCCGCCGCCGCTGTTGCGGGCGCGCCAACAGGCCCGCCACGGCCACGTGGGCACGCGGGCGAGGTACGGAGCGCTCGAGGCTTGGCTGCGCCCCCAGGCTAGGCTGGCCGCGTGCCGCTCTCCCATCACCGTCAACACGACCAGCTGCAACGTAACGAGGCACACCCGGAGCACCCATCCTCGGCCACGCTCTTCCACTACTGGAATCCTCAAATTTGCCGAGTGTTTTTATGTTTGCCGAGTGTATTCCCTCGGGCACTCGGCGAACAAGTTCTCTGTCGAGTGCTACGCTAAAAACACTTGGCAAAGAGGGGGTTTGCCGAGTGTAAAAAAACACTCGGCAAAGAGGGTGTTTGCCGAGTATTTTCTTTTTTGCACTCGGCAAAGAAATAAAATCTTTTTTCTGGGAAAGAAGGAGAAGAAAAAAATAAAAATAAAACTTTGCCGAGTGCCCAGGTCTAGGACACTCGGCAAAGGACAAAATCCTACTTAATTAACCGGCCCCAGCGCCCCTCCCGAGCACCCCGCCCTTCTTCTTCCCCACCGCCCCTCCCCTCCCGGCCCCAGCGCCCCTCCTCTCCCTGCCCAAGGGCGTCGGCCTCCCTCTCCCTTCTTCTTCCCGTGAGCCCCCTCTCCTCCTTCTTCCCCAGCGCCCCTCCCCTCCCGGCCACAGCGCCCCTCCTCTCCCTGCCGCCGTCGGCGCCCCGCCCCTCCCCCTCCCCCTTCTTCTTCCCCGGTGGGCGCCCTCCCCTCCACCTTCTTCTTCCCCGGCGGGCACCCCTCCCCTCCTTTCTTCCCGCCGGCGCCCCATCCCTCCCCTTCTTCCCCCACCGATGCCCCTCCCCTCCCCCTTCTTCTTCCCTCCCTGGCGCCCTCCCTCCCCTTCTTCTTCACCCGGCCAGATCCGGCCCTCCCTCTCCCGGATCTGGCCGGTGGCGGCCGGATCTGGCGACGGGCCCTCCCCTCCCCTTCTTCTTCTCTCGGTCGGATCCAGCCCTCCCTCTCACGGATCCGGCCGGTGCTGGCTGGATCTGGCGGTGGGCAGCGTGGTGTGGTGGTGGCGGCAGCGGCTTTGGTGGTGGTGGTGGTGGTGGCCGACGGTGGGGCGTGGTGGCGGCGGCGGCGGTGGTGGTGGTGGGGTGGTGGTGGCGGCGGCGGGCGTGGTGGTGGCGGCGGCGGCTTTGGTGGTGGTGGTGGTGGCCGGCGGCTGTGGTGGCGGTGGCGGTGGCGGTGGCGGCGGCGGCGGCGTGGTGGTGCCGTCGGCGACTTGTTTTATTTTCCCAAAAAATGTTTGCCGAGTGTTTTTTGGCACTCGACATAGTCTTTGCTGAGTGCCCGACGATTGACACTTGGCAAACAGCTCTTTGCCGTTAAAACCTACGCCGAGTGTCGTTTGCCAAGTGTAACACTCGGCAAACGCTTTGCCGAGTATTTTTGGGGCTTTGCCGAGTGCCCTTGGCACTCGGCAAAGCTCCTGTATCCCGTAGTGTTCGCCGGCGCTGCCATGGGCGTGCGCGCCCGAGCAGCCGCGCTCTGCCCGCGGCCGGGTCCCCAACCGCGCATCACCGCCACCGCGTGGACCTCACGGGCCCCGCAACTGCCGCCTCTGTGCTGCCGACGGCCATCTCCGTGAATGCGAGGGAGTAGGCGAGCGAGGACACGCGAGCAGGCGCCGCCGCCGCCGCTGCGGGCGTGCATGCGAGCCACCGCGGCCACGCGAGCGAGTAGGAGCAGCCAGCATGTGGTCGCGCGTGCGAACAGGGGTCGCGAGCACCGTCACACAAAGAGAACAGCCACCATGCCACTGCAAGCCGTGAGCGCCGGCGGCGTGCTCGCGTACATCGCCCTCGCGCTCGCTAGTGCCAGGTGCTGGTGCCACGGCGCCGAGAACCCACTGTTCCGCAAGGCCGCCGCGTATGAACCCGGAGCAGGGGCGCCGAGCAGGCGCGTGTGGGTGAGCACTGAGCAGCCGTGTGAGCGGGTGCGTGCGCATGCAGGGTCGCACGAGGACGAGAAGCGGGGCTTGGTCGCGGTGTCTAGCCGCGGGTCGGAGGCGTCACCGAGGCATGGACGTGACGCTTGTGTTGCGTGAGGCTCGAGCGCGGGCGGCAGTCGTGGGTCCACGGTGGAGGAACAGAGAGCCAATGCCTTATGTTGTTGTTCTGGCAGACAAGGTGGTGGTAGTGGAGGAGGTGCAGTCTGGTCGTAGCCCGTCTGCCGTAGCCTGCACCGCCGGGGTGCCGCCGGCAAATGCGGTCAGGAGCATGGCCACCCCGTCGCGCGCATGTGTGCTCGACGGACGCCGCGCCGGAGCCGGACTCGAGGGCGCAGGGATGCCCAGGAGGAGGATGGCGGCGCCCGTGCGTGATGCCGGTTTAGCGCCACGCGTCGCGGCCGTCGGCGCCAGCAAACCCACGGCAGCGGAGTGCGGATGCTCGGGCGGTCGACGTCGACGCGGGTGACTGAGGCATCGAAGATCGCGGACAGTGGCCGCCCTCCCTTGCCGGCCTCGCACGGCAGCCAACCCGCTCGACCAACCCCAATGTGGCTGCCCGGCGCAACTTCTGGGTGCTCGCGTGGCAGCGTGACTACACCACGGGCAGCCGGCCGCTCGCACGCCCGTGTGGCCATGGCAGCGGCACCTGCTTGCACGCTCACAACGTGTTTGACGAAATGAAGGGTCAATAGTTGCTTTGAACGGACAAGTCAGCGGGCCACATCAGCATAAGAAGTCCATGTGGAGAGATATGGACCTAAGTGATATGGCATATAAAGTTTAAGAACCCGAAAAGACACTTTAAAAGTTGATAGACCTAACTGAAACCTCCTAACAAGTTAATGGACATCTGGTGCATTTAACTCTTAATTCATCCTTCTTGCGGATTGACACCTAATATATGAACTAGGTTTGGACCTCTGTCAGAAAAAAAGAGAGATTCAATTCTGATGTTTCTAAACAAAAGTGATTCAGGTTTCAGAACGGGAAGGAATCCACTATAACTTTTGACCAAGTCATCCCGAACCTATTTAACTACGATAACGGGTTACTTGACAGTTTGTTTGTTTTTTTTTTTTTTTGAAAAATCGGTTAGTGCTTGACAGTTGACACAGTGCTGGTGGTGGCTGCTTAGGTTCAGGTGTATATACATAGTATTTCCTTAATGTCTACACAGCGCAGTATTTCCTTAATTTTGTCATTTGGTAGAAGTTAATCTTTCTGGTGGTTTTCATGTGGAACTTTTTTGTGTGTGAACAGTTTTCATGTGAAACTTTCAGTCACAAGAAAACAGATTTAAAATTTTATGAATTATATTATCGATATGCATCATTGTATTCAAAATAAAA